TACAGAAATAAGCATCAAACAAAATTACAATTTTACATTAATAAAATACAGAAGTTCAACGGACAGAACCATAACTACAAATCTCTTTCTTCTGCAATATAACTATAAAAATAATTTTTTGTTGTTTTGCACAAAAGATAATCAAATTTATTTTAATTTTTTAGTAATTTAATTAAATTTTTAAAATTTACCAGCTTTTTAAATTTTAATTATAATCACGTTAGCATTGGTTAAACCAATGTTTCTCAACCTCTAACAAATCACCGCCCCTTCAATAAAATCGTTATGTAGTATCACCCTCTTCACTACAAAATTCCGATGCCGAGGGTCAAGGCTAACGCCAAATTTGTACTGCATCAAATAGACTAGTGACTAGTATAATGTTATTTGTTTAATTATTGTACAATATAATGAATAAAATACAGTAATACCCCGAACTTACGCGATAGGTGGGACAGAGCGATAACCACGTAAGTCGGGGTATACTTTCACAATTCGTCTAAAATCCAAGTCGGATGTATGTAAGCTAATAAATGTTCTCGTTAATCTTATCTCGTCTTTTGATTCGTTCACGGTTACAAGAAATCACCGCATAGAGTCTCTCAAGTCTCTGTAGATATAACAAATACAGAAATAAATAACACAAAATAAATTTTAGCTATGTGATGGTTCCATGCGACACGTCCGAACATGTAAGCTAAACAACAGTGTGGGGGAAGTGAGTATTCAAGAGTTGCATGGCGCTCAAACAAAAGACGAATCGGCGAGATTTGAAAATCGCGTAACTGCGGGTTCGCATAAGTCAAGGTATTACTGTATCTAATTATTATTAATATAATGTTTTACTATATTGCCCAGAAAATTGTTTTTCGCCCCCAAAATATAAATTGTTACAAATTGCCCACATGGGGACGATATCGCCCCCGTTGAGAAACACTGGGTTAAACTATCAGATTATCTAATTGATTTTCAAAACTATAACTACAGTATATCTATTACAGGTATGATCAATGTTGCCCGTTTTTAAGTCTTAAATTTGCCAAAATCAGTGATATCTGTTACCCAATGTCATTTCTGTTAAACCAATTATTAAACTATGTATCAAAGTTGCAGAAATTAATGGGAGAGAGAGGGAAAAATATGCTTGCAGTACAGTACTTTCAAGGAAAATCATAACAAAAATGTAAAAAGCTCATGCCAACCACAAGTCAGTGCCAGCATTTTACTGTAAATGTCAGGTAACTATCATTTTTTATGTTGTGTAGTAATGTTTTAAATGTGAAAAACAATTAAATTACAGATTTTTACTGACCTATTTAGCTATTTTGAAGTGACAATTCTGATAAATTACAATTTCAATTTTTAAAAGTTTGCAAACAAATTTTTAGTTAATTATTTTTTATTCTAATTAACAATTTCATCATTTTATAATTGCTAATTATTAAAATTAAAAACTATTATATAAAAGTAGTTTATCCTGTTATTAATCCACAACTGTAAAATTATATGGCTTCAGAATGGTGAAAAAAGCCATTTCAAAACGAACTCCTGTATATTTTCTTATTAAAGATTGCAGCATTAGTTCTTGCCGCCTGCAGATGGCTACACTTGGTCAGCCATATTCAGCAAACAAAATCAATAAGGCAGCTAAGGAGACAAATTCCATGACTTTTTCCAAACACTAATGAAAATCCCTGACTTTCCAGGTGCATAGGTAGCCTATGGTAAAATTGGTTTCATTATACATCATCTCACTTAATGTCACAGTTTCCAAGAACTTATCATCATCACTACTGATAACATTAAGTTAAGTGACGACTTACTGTATTGACAAAACCTTTTCAAATAATCAAAAATTTACATACAAACACTTCCAGTTTCTAGAATCTCCACTTGACCATATTACTGCTGGTATTCAGGCAAGTATGAAGGTAAACAAGCACCTTATGCTATCTTGCAATAGATTTGCCCAAAAATGTTACAATTGTCACTCTAGATTCCTCACATTCTTATATGGCTGAAGGATGATGTCCTATCTGATTCCATAAATGCCTGATATTGACAAATCTTAAAAATGTGACAATGTAATGTAGGACATTCCTGGGAAATCTGTGAGGTGTGCAGCTATCTTGAAGGCAATACAGAAGGGCACAGAATTTCTTGAAAGTATCATTGTGCTGTTAAGTGTCCCTTGTCCATTACTAGGGATGACAGACTTTCATATAAGATGGTTCCTTAGACCAGCACTGAGGCAATGGGGACAGTGTCACTCAACAGCAAAGAATTAATAAAATTGTTCACCAGTGCTCCTCCACACTAACATAATAGTTGTTTGTTCCCAAAACAAAACTGAGATTTGTTTCAGTAAAGATGATATGTTGCCAGTCTGTAGCAGTTCATGCTTCTCTGTCACAGCAAACAAAGCCACGTTGAGGCACTCACAAAAGACATTTATCAGTCACTGTGGATGCAAATTTGCCTTTGCTAGTAAGAACCAATGGTATGGGAGGAGACAGTGTTTTGTAGCAAATCGTCCTCTAACATTCTTTTGGCAGTAAACAAAAACACTGTTGCAGATGTTTGTTATTGTGTCACAATCAGACAATCAATTAGTCTCTATCTTGGACATTCTCAACCTATCTGCTGTGTATGTTTTTCTTGTGTATGCACTGTCTTCAACACCTGTGACAGAAATCCCGATAGCAGACAATTTCACAAAACAGCCATCCTGTTTTCTTCAGCATGACTATGTAACTTTTCTCAAACTTGATAGGTTGGGCATAATGTCTGAATCATGGCCCCACATGATAATGACTGACCTGACCTTAGTCAGAGGAGACTGGTATGAAGCTGGTCAGATTGTATTTTTTGCTTTGCTTGGATTTTCTTGTGGAATGATGAGTTCAATTTATTTGGAATATTTAATTCTTGACATTATTTATTATTCTAAGCTATTATTATTAACTTAATATAACAATCATAAAAAGTATAAAAGTTACCTTTCTGAGTAAAGAGGAAAGCTGAAAAAACTTTTATCAGAATTTTTTCATTTACAATTATGTAAATTTGCTTGGACAATAGCCAGAAAATTTACTGCGAAATAATTTAATCTATAGTTTCTCAGGTTTTGTCTTGTTGATGTGCTTTGTTTTTCAATTTCTGCTATTCCTTCAGTTCTTGTATTGCTTCCTATTTTGGTTTTGTTTTTAATGTCATGTTCGTCATTTTAAATTTGTTGATGTAATTCCTCTGTTGTCTCTAATAAATCTAAATGTTTTTGTTAATGCATGCTTAATTTGTGAAGGAAAATAATATTTTTTGCCATCTAGCTCCTTATCATATCCCAAAGTGGCCACTGGGGCCAAGCAGTTAGGTCTCTTGCCTCACACCAAGATCTCAGGTTCAAGTGGGAGGGCTCACAAAGATCCTGATCTGGGGCCCCGCTGTAGGATGTGAGGGCCATGGTCTGAATGCATCAGATAGGCCTGCTTAGTGTTCAAAGTTCTTCAAACAGCAGGTACTTAACTACAGCTCTAATAACTTGCATATCTATCACACAATATATGCTGAGTTTTGCAATTAATCTGGCAATTCCAGATTAATTGCAAAACTCAGAAATTGTATTTAACTTTTGCCAAGGAGTGTATAATAGTTTTTAGAATACTATATGTATTCTCTATGGATAAATTAGTTTTATATATGTAAAACTTTAATAATAAACTAAAATGAAATAAAACTCTATTTTTCATAATCAAAATATTATGAAATGCTTTCAGTTTCAGCTTGGCTACCTACAGCTTATATTCTAAAATATGAATATTTTTAGTTAAATATAGATGAGAATACAGAATGATTTTAATTAATGTATTATATTCAAATTTTATGTAACTTGAAAATGGCCTGAACAAAGCTGAAAACATTTATTTCTGGTAATCAAAAAAATACTCAAATTTTAATGTTCAATAGAAGTCCTAGCTTTTGCATGTATTTCATCAAGAAATACAATTGCTGCTCATTTCATAAAATTTGTTTAAATTATAAGTATGTTAACTAATGCATAAGTACGACTTTCTTCATATGATTAGAAAATAATTGTCATCACTAGCATTTCTAGTTATGTGATACAATATAATTTCTATACTTGTTAAATATTTTTAAAAATTCTAGTTTCTATAATCAACCTAAGAAAAATTTTTGTGAACACAAGTATGAAATTTCACATTATGTTTTGTCCTGTGAAAATTGTTTACAGTAAGCAATTATAAATTATTAGTTAAAATTACAAAGCAACACTAATATAGTAACAATTTATATAATGTCTTATAGCTAATCAATTAATAATATAATTTAAACTAAACTCAATAAGATGTACTCATCCCTTTGAATTGCAGATGGATATTCATTTTATCTTGTAAACTCATCCTCATATTTTGCATCTAAAGTTCAGTAAGCATATCTCAAAATTTTGTTACTTAATTCATGATTATATTCAATTCATAAACTTGCTAATGTAATGTTAGTAATATTAAGAAAAAACCAATGTTGTATTTACATTTTTATACACCTAAAATATTTACTCATATTTTTTTGTGTTTAATTGTTTAGAATTGTTAAAATGGAATTAAGTGGGTTTCATATTAACCAATCTTTTATTGCATTCTTTCATTTTTTATAATATAACACCCCAAGGAGAATATAAAATAAACTGAATTAATATATTCCATAAATTCATATATACAAAAAATTTAATATTTCATTCAATGCAGTAATTACTTTTCAACAAGTAAAGAAAGCATATTTTATAAAAAGTTGAAAGTTTGAAAACAAGTCAATAGCATGTTAAATTAGAAAATATTTATTTTGTATTTAACAGTTAAATTTAGTGTTTTATTATTTCTATTACATTATAAAAGAGCAAAAGATGAAGTAGGTTAGTATAGCAGAATTCAAGTAAAAATAGATTTATCATTTCTATATAAAGAATGACATAATCAGAAAAATCAAGTTTTACAAAGGTTTATTAGGAATCGGTATTACATCTGTTCGTGTACATAGGCAAATTTCTTCTCCCATTACAACACAATGCAGGAAAGCACACACAAAACTGTTTGGTGAAGCAACCCTAAGATAGATAGATAGGTAAGTAATAGCTACTGGAAATGCACAAAAAAGTTAAGACCATATCTTGCCCCAATTACTGATTCTGAAATGAATAAATCTGTAATGGACCCAACAAAAGTAATCATGAATGATTCAATTAAGACAATGAGCTACACATAATTTTATATTTCAGTCTCTTTTCCTGTTTTTTTATGCAAATAGGAGAATAACTTGCTGAATGGAGTATGCACAAAAGAACCAAATCACAAAAGCTATTGTGCTGCTACATAAACATCCACTGTATTACAGTAAACTGTTTGTGTTATTTGCCAAATTAATCAAATGGGGCACACATTCACAAAATTTCAACCAAGTTATCATCCAAGGACATGTACCAAATGGATTATGATGACTGGATGCACTATAAAGATGAATGAATGTTGAGTTTTATACTACTACTTGCACAAAAAAAGAACACTTCCTGACAAAGACAGAGATAAAATGTTTATTCTACCACTATATGCCTGGATTTCAAAACACCAGTTTCAATTTCTGGTAATGGACTATTTAAATTTGTTGAACAAATGATGAGATTTCATACTTGTAGATTTACAACAAAAAGATGTGGAGCCAGTAGAGAAAGATAATATGAATAAAGCAGCAGCACTGTATAAGTTCCTTGGCATTCAAAGTGCCCCAAAGCCAGAGATTAGTATAAGAAGTGCACTTAACAAAATTCATTAAATATTTGTGAATTCTATTATAGTTTATATAATACATAATTCCAGTATTATGATTTTCACATATGAGCCTTCTAATTATTTCCTAACATACTTAAATCTGTATCAGAAACATTCATTCATGACTTATGAACAGTTAAAAATGTTGATCAAAAATGCCATACAACTCTCTTCACTATATCTTCAATCAACTTCAGTTAAAAGGAGCACATCACAACATTTATCATCATACATACATGAACTTGCATATACATACAAAAAACACACATTCAAAAAATTCATCTAAGATTATCAAAATCTCAATTATGAAATTTTACATGTAATTATTGAAAATAAAACAAAATAGTAGCTAAGAATTATGCTTATAGTTTTTACACAAAGATAGTATGAAGTAAACACATTCTATTATACTTCACATTTATGAAACAATGATTTTTCTAAATACAATATGAAGGAGCATAACTTGCCCAATATAAAAATAAATTTCCATCCTTCAAGAAATAAAAGAACAAACATAAAATACTTTGGTATATTTATGAGCCATTATGATGATGTATTATATGATAACTGTTGAAATATCTGTTAAACTCAAAATACCTATTTTCCTATGGACAATTAATCCCCAGTCTTGTTTCTTTCAACCAAGTTATATGTACAGTGCTGCTGCTTTAATGTGCACAAGATATTTAAACATTTGCCTACACAAAGGGTTTTGTCTGGCCCCCTGCTCACAACACAGCTGGGGATGATATTTCCAATGGCAGTCAACAGATGAAACATCTGTAGATACTGATGAAACCGACTCGATTTTTGTTTTGAGTGGTAAGATGTTTGTGGTGTCTGGTGCAACTACAGCATTTGATGATAAATTCATTCATCCCCTTCTCCCTCACCTTCAGCTTCTGCTCCCTCACCCTCCAGTTCTCCACCTGGAAATGCAATGATTTATTATGTAAGAATGATAATTTGAAAGAAATATTGTGAATTTTCCCCTTTGTATAGTCTGTAATAACGATGCTAATTTTAACACACATGAAGCATTGTAGATGCCACTCAAATAATTGAGCAAAACTGCCATTTATTTGTTGAGACTACATAACACTTATTCACCTGCTTCATCTAAATCCTCTTCACCTTCTCCTTCTTCTTCACCTTCCTCATAGACTTCTTCTTCTTCTTCTGAAGAATGAATAGATTGTTATTTATGTAATTATATATATATAATAAAACAATTAAAGCAAGGATTTTAAAAAAATGCAAAAATAATTATTTAAAAAAATCATTTCATATTAGTTTTCTGAAGTAAGACTTTTTGTTTTCAGGAAAATGAGATAAAAAAAAAAGAATTGAATTTAAACTTAATACTAATTCATATTTTCATATTCTTATTGAAATTCTTTTATATTTGCTACAGAAGTAAATAATAATAAATTTCAACTGACAGACTACTATTGATATATATATAAAATTAACATAAAAAGAAACTATTACTTAAAATTATTACACAAAATTCAAGCTGTTTTTAAATTTAAAATTGACTTTTTAAACAAACTTCTGTAGGGAAAAAAATGTAATGCTACACCAAAATTTATGCCACTGCTTCAAACTTTTCTTTTTGAAGTATATTCTGTTCAATATGATTCAGAAAATTTAAAAATACTTTAACATGAATTAAAAAAAGATTTAATTAAAAGTAACTTTTACTCATAAAACTAGAATGTAATGTTCTTATAAAAATTGAAAAAAAAAAAAAAANGTTAATTTTGTTAAGGCACAAGGTATTTTGTTCCTCTGTTTTCCCTTGGATGTTGTTTCAAATACTATGTATTGCTATTGCTAATCAGTTTTTTGTAAAAATATTTAGAAATTGCTTAAGTCATTTTGACTCGTCTTTTGTATTATCATTGTTGTTGCAAAACAAACAATAATTGTTAACAAAATTAATTTATTTTTCTGTGAAATTTAAATATTAATATATATATTAATATTTAAATCTCACAGAAAAATAAATTAATTTTGTTAACAATTATTGTTTGTTTTGCAACAACAATGATAATACAAAAGACGAGTCAAAATGACTTAAGCAATTTCTAAATATTTTTACAAAAAACTGATTAGCAATAGCAATACATAGTATTTGAAACAACATCCAAGGGAAAACAGAGGAACAAAATACCTTGTGCCTTAACAAAATTAACATTTATAGATCTTTCATGTTCATTGAAAAATAACAAAATTATGTATCGTGACTTGACACGTGGCTATTGCAATGGCTTCTAAACATAAGATCCAATGTATTTTGGAAAAATAGAACTCTCATGTCTCTTCTGAGCATCTACTTCTTGTCAGATGAAAAGGCCAAATAAGTCTTAAATTCTGCTTGCATGATCTTAAGCACCTTGATTTTTCTCTGAGTTACATAAATTACAAAGTTTACATACCACCTTTGCCACAAAACTTAGTTGATCTGAAGTCATAGTACTGTAGTAAGAATTTACTGCTAGATGTTGGTTTCTGTGTGGTAAAGAATTATACTTTTATTTTTGGCATGTGCAACATGATATATCTATAGTACAAACATTAAAACTTCACAAATAAAATTTCAGCTGCAGTTTCAAATAATACAAGTTTCACATTTTTGTGTTCAATAATTTTTGTTAATAAAATGTATCTAACCACTCATCATTTTGTCTCATCTCATATGCTGGCATCATATATTTTATTTGGGATGATTCTGAAAAGTTTTTTGCAAATACTTTTGAAGTAATAAATATGAATTATGGGCTTAGTTGTTTGAATATGACTTTCCAACCAAAGATTTCATAATGATGCAATTTTTAATAAAATAGTCTGCATGTATTAAGTAGAAGATAAGGAATAATTACTGAATGATGACAAAAAAAAATCTTTGTTAAATTATCTTGCTACTCCCTGTACATATAATTACATACATAGAATAAAACTTTATAGAATACATTCAGATGAAGAGTACTTATCTATATAATATTAACATTTAGTCAATATTTTTAACATTAAGCATACAGATGAAAAATATATTCAAATTGTATCATGATTTATTGTAATTATATATGCCATTTTACTCATTTAATCCATTAAATCTAAATAATTCATTATAATAGCTGAATATGAAAGAACATAACACACATTTTGTAAAGCATTTTCTAAAATATATCTGTTAATAATTATTGATGCACTATAATTTTCCATGATGTGTCTACACTGTATCAATGACATTTTAAATTACCTTGTTTTTCACTTATTTCATCAGAAAGTTGTCATCATTACATCTGTGAAAACACACTTAAGACATTTTCTGTTACATATTTCTATGAGATTACATTAACTTTTATAGAAAACACACAATTTGATATGCAGTACATATGACTTAAACATCACAATGATAACCATTCTTAAAAACACAAGGTCGTTTCCATTCAGTATGGAGAAATTAAGGTAATATTACATCTAAAAATGTAAAAATTAGCATTATTTTTCATTATCTTAAATTTTAGACATTGGCTATATAAATTTCACATAAAAATTGATTAAAATAATTTTAATAATTTATAAATTTACATATAATAAAAAAATTAAATAATTTAATATTAATGCTTTTATTTACTTAAAAGTTCAAACATAACTTATTTCATTATTAAAAACTAATAAATATATTATAATAAAAAGGAGAAATAAATATCACAAAATTTGAATTATTAAATAAACTAGCACTTATAAATTTAATTTGAACCATGTGAACCTTAAGAAATTAATTGGTTTTATTACTTTAAGCAATGTTACATCATTAGAAGCCCTTTATATAAATTAATAAGTAAAATTATCATAATCTTGCTTTTTCGTAATACTTAATTTGAGTAAATGTGAAGTTAACAAGGCAGAGAAAAAAGAAAAAAAATTCAAAATCAGAAATAATGGGAAAAAAAATCCACATTGAATATATGAGGAGGGAACAAATTTAAAAAGTAAATACTTATAAACCCAAAACTGTAACAATTCTTGAGACAACATTTTGATATGGATTTAAATATAGTAAAAACTTGATTGAATTAATGCATTACTTAGAGTGAGGGGTTCTATTAAAGTCAAAAGTCTGTTATATAATAGAGTAGGTTTCCAAATGCATTTAAAAAATTGACAAATCAGTTAATCTGCTTTTACTCATTACAATATACATACATTTGTTTAATTAATATTGTATGAGAACTTTAATTTCACAGAAAAGTTTTCTATATGCATTATTGCTTATGTACTCACTATAGTTCTAAGACAATAAACAAGTATATTTTATATAAACTGAAATAAACAAACATTTTTGTAAAATACACTTTATGAGCAGTGACTCTTGGATGAAAACAACCCTGTTAATTTAATTATGTATAAAAAGTATTTTAAAATTAACAGTGTTAAATATAGGGAATGAAGTTTTGTCCATTAAATAGAGATTTTTATTTTATATTTTTACAAAATTAAAAGCAATAATAAGTAAAATTAAAATTTTGAATTTTTTATACTATTAAATCTTCTAACATTAAGTATATATACAGTGTTAAGTGTATGGGAAGGCAAATGAGAAACACTTCAGGCAGTCACACACCATTTCACAATTCAGTTTTTCTTAACCATCTGAACCACCAAAATTGCTCACTACTATTGTGAATTCCTGCTTTGTTTGCTAACTGTGCATTGATAAAAGGACTTTTGAATTATTTTTTTATGAAAAATTAGTTTTGTCAATATTGACCACAGTGTCATCTACCAACTTTAGTGCCAATCTCTGTTTTTATTTTATTATTACTTCATGAGACCAAAATGTGATTACAACAACCCAGTTCATTACTTAATGCTGATTGATGGCTTTCTCAACAAATTACCAACTAAAAGAACTAACCTCAACATATGACTGTTGGTGGGTAAAAAGTTTTATAACAGCCAATGAGATGGGTCAACACTACCTTCACTGTTAATCCAAACTCCTGCCAATTGAAGTTGACAGACCTTACAAATGCTAAATTGTCACACTGAGACCCCATTGAAAGAAACCATTGAGAGAGAGGACTAATGGCTTCATCATACCAGAGAACAGGTAGACACGAATCACCTGCAAATGTATTGATTTTTGCACAGAACACCAAATTTTAAATGAGCTCACTATCAATTTCAATAAGTTCCTGCTAGTTTTAATATCTTAAAATGTTCCGTCCTGGATTTTTTGAATTAACAGCATTGTTCTTCAATACCTCCAAAGTATTCTTTATTTTAGATTCAATATATTGTAATTTTTTTTTATTGTCTGGCAAAAGCTACTTGACTGCCATGAATTTTACTTTCCTGGTTTTTTTCTATTCTGTCATCAGTGTTGCCTGCATGGATAATTAATTTCACTCTGAAGTTGCATTTGTTTTGGATTACAAAGTTTCAATTTCTTCAAAAACTAGGACTCTTATTTTGTGTTTGCTTTTTTCATCTCTCTTCTGTGAAAGATAAGCAACACAATTCTATTTGACTTCAGAAACAGTTAAGCCATAGTTGTTCATAGATGATATGAAAATTACTAATTTTACAATTTCTTATAATAATATTTTTTGAGCAATGTTTAGTCTAAGGCTGAGACTCCACTAGTGTAAAATGCACCCTAATTATTTTTAATAATGTGACCTATTTGCATTTGGATTACAGTAGAACTTTGACTCCACTAATGAAGTTTTTACAGTGATGGTACTGCCATCAAGTGTCAAAAGTAAACAGTGTTTTTCACATAAATTGATAGAAACAAAGCAACACATCTCAATTATCGCAACTAATTTTAAAACTAATAAAAAAAAACTTGACAAGCATCATCAAAACAATGAGAGCAAGAGATAAAATAGAGTGAACAGGTTAGGCTTCTGTAATTATTATTTCAACTTAAAGCTTAGCATACACTACAAGTCATCATTACTCTTATTATTATATTTAAATAGGCACATTCTACATGAACATAATTGCAGTTAGAGAAATTAAGTCAATTAATAATTATTGATCTAAATTTAATAGTTAGGTAATTAGCAATTATAGTTATGAATTGAGTTCAATAATAATTAGGTCCAAGAAAATTAATATATTTGATTACATACATTAAAATTAGATGAAAAATAAATATATATTAAAATGTATTAAATAATTAAAAATTCTTGGAAATATCATTTTGAGATAATCCCACTTTCACTTCATTATATTAAATACATTTTGTTATTTCAGATATTTCTATTTATAAGAACATTTAAATGAGAATTATTTTTCTAACCATATTTTTATTTTCCAATACATGCATCACTTAACCCTTAAATGCTAATAACACATCAAACTGACATGTTCGTGCATTCCCTATTGCACAGTATTTTTAAGAATTAGCTCTCATTAGTGCTCTGGTTAATCAGTTGTAGACAAGACCCTGCCAAGATTGTTTCATTGTACATTTCCAGAGAACAAAGAATCTGTTTGTTCTGAACTCTAGTGCATGTAAACATACAAGTTAATAACTAGTGTGTTTTTATACTTACAGCATGACATTAGTAATGAAGTGTCCATGAAAGCACACGAAAATACCATGTTGTGCTCTTCTCCCATGTGTTAGAATATAAGAAAAACTTTTTTTTGGAGAAAGAGCATGGGTCTACTTTATTTGAAGAGAAATCAGGACCATATTGAATCAATATTTGATGAGTGTGGTGATGAAGGAAATGAAAATGAAAACAAGGTAAAGGCACAGGAAGATTTTGACAGTGATGACTGTGTAAATGATTGTCTCATATTTATGGAACAAAAACAAAGAAGAAAAAATTGAGTCTTACATAAGATATAGAATGTGGCATCCTGACATCATATACAAAGAAGGAATAATATACAGTCGACCCCCGTATAAGATCATTGATTATTCCGTTTTATATGAATTCCATGTTGTACGAGTCACTTAGATTTTACAAATACGTGTACCGGGCTGTGAATGGCTCACGTATTTGTAAAATTTAAGTGACTTGTACAACACGGAATTCATATAAAACAGAATAATCAATGATCTTATACAGGGGTCGACTGTAAGTAAAGAATTACAATTGAAAATCTTATTATTCAACCTCAATCTGCAAGTTTGAAAAGCAAAGCTGGAAACACATGGAAGGAGAACAGTTTCAGAAAAACACCTGCTAAAAATATAATTCATTTGTCAGGGTCCTACTGCAATAGCTCTGAATTTGACTGACCCAAGTACACTTCCTCAATTTGTTTATTTCAGACATGATCCTAAAGGTACTAAGCATAGAAATAAAGTAGACAAACAAAGAATAGATATAAACCCAGAAACTCTACTCTGAAAGAAGTATGTAAACAAGAACTAATAGCTTTTATAGGTCTCTCAGATTTGTCAGCTGCTCTAAAAAAATCAAAACTTAAAGCTACAATACTTTTCAATTTATCATTCTGTGGGCAAAAACATGCAAATTTGGTTTCACAGACAAGATTCAATTTTATAATGAACACTCTCCCTTTTGATTCAAAGGAAACCAGACAAGAGTGGAGAAAGGAAACTAAATTAGTTCCAGTTAGAGAAATGGAAATGTGCCTGAAGGGGATTCAACAGCCCATTATTTTGTGAAAGAACTGGCAAAGTGTGTTGCTGGTTCCAATACCAACATTACAATATATAACTGGTTTACTAGCACTGACCCTGTCAAATCACTTTTGGCGGACCTTCAGAAAAAATAAAGGAACTACCAGAGGAGATCAAAGACAAATTTTCTGAATTGTGCTGCCAATTCTCCTATATTTATCTTACACAACAATATGACAGTTGTGTCATATAAAGTAACAATAAAGTTGGTGATACTTGTTTCCTCAGTACATAAAGCAGCAGGAATGCACTTTAAATAAAATACATGTAATATTTAACTGTTTGTTTTTTTATCCCAGTCCCACACTTTTGCTTATTCATTTTTTGCTCTGTCTTCTTTACTGTTATTCTCAGTAATATAACTACAGTGAGAATGTTTCAGCTAAATAGCAAATAGCTACATGACAAGTCAAAGAAACTTGTGCAACAAGCATAGCTTATTCTTTAGATTAAGTTTATTCCACAGGTAATGTTATTCTACAGTTTATATCAGTGATTCCCAAACTTTTTCGATCCACTGCCCCCTTTATTCCATAAAGTTATATCCAATGCCACCTAACCCATTTTCTGTTGTGTGAGAAAGGATTGGAAATATTCTTAGGAAAACTTTTCTATGAACTTCACACTTTGTGCTCTTACTGTACATTGTTCTCAAAATCTGGAAACCATTAAACTCAATGTTTCCTCTTATCAGTTTAACAGAGAAAAGGGAACGGCTTTCAGTGACCCCAATTTTGCCTTTGGTCACCATTCAATACCCTGCCTCCAGCAGCCCCCTAGATTTACTCATCGCCCACAAGGTGGCACTATTGCCCACTTTGAGAAACGCTGGAGTATATGGTAACTTGGGCAATAGCCCTAACAGAAATAAAATTTTATTTACACTAAAAATTTCTGAATGCAAGATGGTACTATCTAAACTGCATACCAATAAACTATCATCATGTTTTTAATATCTTTTTGTAGGTATGAAATACCAAAAAAATTCTAGTGTAGTTTTTAATTCAGTTCTAGTAGTTATTTTACATTATCCACACAAAAACAGCAGTTGTAAGAAACACAAATCTACTTTTTACTTCACAAAGCTAAAATTTAATGTTTTAAAAAAATGTACTTTATTAGATTGTAATATTTATAAATTTGCACATAAAGGCATTGTTGATAAACAGTTTTTGGAAACTAACTATATATGGTCGTAACAGAAACTACAGTCAATCTCCCAAACATTTTCAGACTATTAGGAGATAAGGCCATAAACAAAAATTGTAGAAAAAGTTTAAACACATTCAAGAATGCTTTAAATTCAAAAGCAGATGAAACATCCAACTTTGGTGAAGTGTTCTATCTAATTCCTATTTCTATTTTTTTCTTCTTTTTTTTCATATTTAATCAACAGCCAATTATATGCTGCTGATGGAAAATTTTCAAATTCTTACTCTAACTTCAACTTCAAAACTACTTAACCTTTCTTAAACAGTTAGATCCAAACATTTTTATTGCTTAAACTCTCTCCTGCTCTTCCTTTATAATCTTAGAAATACTTTGGGGATGCAGCTAATCACTTTTTACATTCTTTTTCGGCTTAACATAGAAAATCTTTCCAGTCCTCAAATAACTTATACCCTTCCATTTTAGTTCCAAGTGTTTATCATCTCTCCCTCAATCATTTTTCTTTCTCATTAATTGGGACCTGCTCTATCCAATTAACTTTCTCTTTATAGGAATTCACACTTTTAGTTCTACAATACTTTTTTTTGAAGGCTGACTTTATAAAGTCATAAATAATAGCACCGAGATAAGTTATTTAAAAATATACTAGTATCAAGCAAAATTAACTAGAAATTACAATTTATAGAGAAGGAACAATTATAATAATTGAATTAGCACAACTAGCACGATAAACTACAGACATGTACCTATTTGTAATTGTTTAGAAATCCATACAAGAAACTATTACTAACAAACAAGAATAATAATACTCAAGTACAGAAAATTTTCACTTTTATATATATAGTCAAAAACCTCATGTTATTGAGGACTACAAGGTAATTGAGAGGAACTTTGTAAACTTCACATATTTCCATTTAAATTTTACACATCAATAAAATTCTATTCAAGATTAAAAACAAAGTAAAATGCACATTAATCATTAACAATACCATTATGCATTATTGACATATTTTGTGCAATATAAATATTAGTCAAGTATCAGATTATGAACATTAAAAGTACTCTTTATTTTAAAATAAGGACTTCTAGTTACCTTCTGGATCTTCTTCATCACCTTCTCCTTCTTCTTCAACTACTACTACAGAATCATCAACTTCTTCCTCTTCACTAAAACAGAACAGAAACAGAATTCATAAAATTAATATTCAGAATTATTTAGTTTCATCTTCAAATTAATAATAATCTAAAATTAAAAATTTATATGTATTTTGTATTATATTGTATTAATATTCAGAATTATTTTCGTATTTTTCACTTATATAGAACCTAACCCTATACCTCANTAATTAACAATTTCATCATTTTATAATTGCTAATTATTAAAATTAAAAACTATTATATAAAAGTAGTTTATCCTGTTATTAATCCACAACTGTAAAATTATATGGCTTCAGAATGGTGAAAAAAGCCATTTCAAAACGAACTCCTGTATATTTTCTTATTAAAGATTGCAGCATTAGTTCTTGCCGCCTGCAGATGGCTACACTTGGTCAGCCATATTCAGCAAACAAAATCAATAAGGCAGCTAAGGAGACAAATTCCATGACTTTTTCCAAACACTAATGAAAATCCCTGACTTTCCAGGTGCATAGGTAGCCTATGGTAAAATTGGTTTCATTATACATCATCTCACTTAATGTCACAGTTTCCAAGAACTTATCATCATCACTACTGATAACATTAAGTTAAGTGACGACTTACTGTATTGACAAAACCTTTTCAAATAATCAAAAATTTACATACAAACACTTCCAGTTTCTAGAATCTCCACTTGACCATATTACTGCTGGTATTCAGGCAAGTATGAAGGTAAACAAGCACCTTATGCTATCTTGCAATAGATTTGCCCAAAAATGTTACAATTGTCACTCTAGATTCCTCACATTCTTATATGGCTGAAGGATGATGTCCTATCTGATTCCATAAATGCCTGATATTGACAAATCTTAAAAATGTGACAATGTAATGTAGGACATTCCTGGGAAATCTGTGAGGTGTGCAGCTATCTTGAAGGCAATACAGAAGGGCACAGAATTTCTTGAAAGTATCATTGTGCTGTTAAGTGTCCCTTGTCCATTACTAGGGATGACAGACTTTCATATAAGATGGTTCCTTAGACCAGCACTGAGGCAATGGGGACAGTGTCACTCAACAGCAAAGAATTAATAAAATTGTTCACCAGTGCTCCTCCACACTAACATAATAGTTGTTTGTTCCCAAAACAAAACTGAGATTTGTTTCAGTAAAGATGATATGTTGCCAGTCTGTAGCAGTTCATGCTTCTCTGTCACAGCAAACAAAGCCACGTTGAGGCACTCACAAAAGACATTTATCAGTCACTGTGGATGCAAATTTGCCTTTGCTAGTAAGAACCAATGGTATGGGAGGAGACAGTGTTTTGTAGCAAATCGTCCTCTAACATTCTTTTGGCAGTAAACAAAAACACTGTTGCAGATGTTTGTTATTGTGTCACAATCAGACAATCAATTAGTCTCTATCTTGGACATTCTCAACCTATCTGCTGTGTATGTTTTTCTTGTGTATGCACTGTCTTCAACACCTGTGACAGAAATCCCGATAGCAGACAATTTCACAAAACAGCCATCCTGTTTTCTTCAGCATGACTATGTAACTTTTCTCAAACTTGATAGGTTGGGCATAATGTCTGAATCATGGCCCCACATGATAATGACTGACCTGACCTTAGTCAGAGGAGACTGGTATGAAGCTGGTCAGATTGTATTTTTTGCTTTGCTTGGATTTTCTTGTGGAATGATGAGTTCAATTTATTTGGAATATTTAATTCTTGACATTATTTATTATTCTAAGCTATTATTATTAACTTAATATAACAATCATAAAAAGTATAAAAGTTACCTTTCTGAGTAAAGAGGAAAGCTGAAAAAACTTTTATCAGAATTTTTTCATTTACAATTATGTAAATTTGCTTGGACAATAGCCAGAAAATTTACTGCGAAATAATTTAATCTATAGTTTCTCAGGTTTTGTCTTGTTGATGTGCTTTGTTTTTCAATTTCTGCTATTCCTTCAGTTCTTGTATTGCTTCCTATTTTGGTTTTGTTTTTAATGTCATGTTCGTCATTTTAAATTTGTTGATGTAATTCCTCTGTTGTCTCTAATAAATCTAAATGTTTTTGTTAATGCATGCTTAATTTGTGAAGGAAAATAATATTTTTTGCCATCTAGCTCCTTATCATATCCCAAAGTGGCCACTGGGGCCAAGCAGTTAGGTCTCTTGCCTCACACCAAGATCTCAGGTTCAAGTGGGAGGGCTCACAAAGATCCTGATCTGGGGCCCCGCTGTAGGATGTGAGGGCCATGGTCTGAATGCATCAGATAGGCCTGCTTAGTGTTCAAAGTTCTTCAAACAGCAGGTACTTAACTACAGCTCTAATAACTTGCATATCTATCACACAATATATGCTGAGTTTTGCAATTAATCTGGCAATTCCAGATTAATTGCAAAACTCAGAAATTGTATTTAACTTTTGCCAAGGAGTGTATAATAGTTTTTAGAATACTATATGTATTCTCTATGGATAAATTAGTTTTATATATGTAAAACTTTAATAATAAACTAAAATGAAATAAAACTCTATTTTTCATAATCAAAATATTATGAAATGCTTTCAGTTTCAGCTTGGCTACCTACAGCTTATATTCTAAAATATGAATATTTTTAGTTAAATATAGATGAGAATACAGAATGATTTTAATTAATGTATTATATTCAAATTTTATGTAACTTGAAAATGGCCTGAACAAAGCTGAAAACATTTATTTCTGGTAATCAAAAAAATACTCAAATTTTAATGTTCAATAGAAGTCCTAGCTTTTGCATGTATTTCATCAAGAAATACAATTGCTGCTCATTTCATAAAATTTGTTTAAATTATAAGTATGTTAACTAATGCATAAGTACGACTTTCTTCATATGATTAGAAAATAATTGTCATCACTAGCATTTCTAGTTATGTGATACAATATAATTTCTATACTTGTTAAATATTTTTAAAAATTCTAGTTTCTATAATCAACCTAAGAAAAATTTTTGTGAACACAAGTATGAAATTTCACATTATGTTTTGTCCTGTGAAAATTGTTTACAGTAAGCAATTATAAATTATTAGTTAAAATTACAAAGCAACACTAATATAGTAACAATTTATATAATGTCTTATAGCTAATCAATTAATAATATAATTTAAACTAAACTCAATAAGATGTACTCATCCCTTTGAATTGCAGATGGATATTCATTTTATCTTGTAAACTCATCCTCATATTTTGCATCTAAAGTTCAGTAAGCATATCTCAAAATTTTGTTACTTAATTCATGATTATATTCAATTCATAAACTTGCTAATGTAATGTTAGTAATATTAAGAAAAAACCAATGTTGTATTTACATTTTTATACACCTAAAATATTTACTCATATTTTTTTGTGTTTAATTGTTTAGAATTGTTAAAATGGAATTAAGTGGGTTTCATATTAACCAATCTTTTATTGCATTCTTTCATTTTTTATAATATAACACCCCAAGGAGAATATAAAATAAACTGAATTAATATATTCCATAAATTCATATATACAAAAAATTTAATATTTCATTCAATGCAGTAATTACTTTTCAACAAGTAAAGAAAGCATATTTTATAAAAAGTTGAAAGTTTGAAAACAAGTCAATAGCATGTTAAATTAGAAAATATTTATTTTGTATTTAACAGTTAAATTTAGTGTTTTATTATTTCTATTACATTATAAAAGAGCAAAAGATGAAGTAGGTTAGTATAGCAGAATTCAAGTAAAAATAGATTTATCATTTCTATATAAAGAATGACATAATCAGAAAAATCAAGTTTTACAAAGGTTTATTAGGAATCGGTATTACATCTGTTCGTGTACATAGGCAAATTTCTTCTCCCATTACAACACAATGCAGGAAAGCACACACAAAACTGTTTGGTGAAGCAACCCTAAGATAGATAGATAGGTAAGTAATAGCTACTGGAAATGCACAAAAAAGTTAAGACCATATCTTGCCCCAATTACTGATTCTGAAATGAATAAATCTGTAATGGACCCAACAAAAGTAATCATGAATGATTCAATTAAGACAATGAGCTACACATAATTTTATATTTCAGTCTCTTTTCCTGTTTTTTTATGCAAATAGGAGAATAACTTGCTGAATGGAGTATGCACAAAAGAACCAAATCACAAAAGCTATTGTGCTGCTACATAAACATCCACTGTATTACAGTAAACTGTTTGTGTTATTTGCCAAATTAATCAAATGGGGCACACATTCACAAAATTTCAACCAAGTTATCATCCAAGGACATGTACCAAATGGATTATGATGACTGGATGCACTATAAAGATGAATGAATGTTGAGTTTTATACTACTACTTGCACAAAAAAAGAACACTTCCTGACAAAGACAGAGATAAAATGTTTATTCTACCACTATATGCCTGGATTTCAAAACACCAGTTTCAATTTCTGGTAATGGACTATTTAAATTTGTTGAACAAATGATGAGATTTCATACTTGTAGATTTACAACAAAAAGATGTGGAGCCAGTAGAGAAAGATAATATGAATAAAGCAGCAGCACTGTATAAGTTCCTTGGCATTCAAAGTGCCCCAAAGCCAGAGATTAGTATAAGAAGTGCACTTAACAAAATTCATTAAATATTTGTGAATTCTATTATAGTTTATATAATACATAATTCCAGTATTATGATTTTCACATATGAGCCTTCTAATTATTTCCTAACATACTTAAATCTGTATCAGAAACATTCATTCATGACTTATGAACAGTTAAAAATGTTGATCAAAAATGCCATACAACTCTCTTCACTATATCTTCAATCAACTTCAGTTAAAAGGAGCACATCACAACATTTATCATCATACATACATGAACTTGCATATACATACAAAAAACACACATTCAAAAAATTCATCTAAGATTATCAAAATCTCAATTATGAAATTTTACATGTAATTATTGAAAATAAAACAAAATAGTAGCTAAGAATTATGCTTATAGTTTTTACACAAAGATAGTATG